ATGGTACATAACTACAGTTATACATTTAGTAGTTAGTTATGGTACATAACTACAGTTATACATTTAGTAGTTAGTTATGGTACATAATTACAGTTGTACATTTAGTAGTTAGTTATGATACATAACTACAGTTGTACATTTAGTAGTTAGTTATGGTACCTAACTACAGTTGTACATTTAGTAGTTAGTTATGGTACATAACTACAATTGTACATTTAATAGTTAGTTATGGCACATAACTACAGTTGTACATTTAGTAGTTAGTTATGGTACATAACTACAGTTGTACATTTAATAGTTAGTTATGGCACATAATTACAGTTGTACATTTAGTAGTTATTTCTTTTATTTTCACTTGTCCTAGAACTCCGGAGAAGAGGTTTCTAACAGCCATTTGCGAGAGAATGTTTTCCTGTCTGTAAAGACTATTGTCCTGCATAATGACCACAATGCTGGAAAGTGTGATTGCACATCTGGAATGTTAGAAGGTGAGAACATTTTTTCTGAGACTGTTTGATAGCTCTCTCCTTCTTTCTCTATTGTAAATCCCCATTGTGTTAGGTTTAGATTGTACAAATAAATTCTAAAGTTCTGGATATAATGTGGCTGATTAACACTTTTCAACTTTAACTAAATTTTACATTTATGACTTACATTTAATGTTACATGTGTGTGACTTAAACATAGATTCTCTTGTGCAGGTTAGCAGAATTGACAAAACAATTCTTAAAAGATAACCTCTTAGATTTTACACTGAGAAATATCTCAACCAAAAGGGATCTCAAACTGTAAGTTTAGAATTTTGAAACTATTCTCTAAAGAGTTTTCCTATTTCACTATTTTCATTGCTAGTGTGCATTTTATATGTTAGATCTCACTCTGTGGTGAGTGGTCCAAGTATACTAAATCATACAACCTCACTGAATGGCCTTTAAGTTCTATAATGTCCCACTGTTGAGATGGGATGTTCCACAGGACCGTTAGTGGTTTCCTCCTTGTGGTATTTTGCATCATAAATATGTGTGTCCCAGACCGTAACAATTCATGAACTATCATGAGTAAAGCAGTGTGAGAACAGTAATCCTGGTTCAATATATTGGGACTGACCTGCTTTTAAAAATGTAGTTTAGTGGTCATCCATTGCATTCCCTCTAGTGTTGCATTCCTCCAGATTCACCATCGTGTTGCCCCCTCCCTTCAAGTAGAGTATGGGAGTTCTTGCCACTTATCATCTCCTAGTCACTGGGGTGGTGGACCATGGAAGCAACCTTCTGAGTGTGCTCAATCCCATTCTGTTGGATCTAGGGCAGTTGGGTATTTGCCTTCCAGTCCATGGTAGGAGGAAGGTTCATACCATCTATAACAACAGAATACCCAACATTGCCTGGAGATGATCCATCTGGTATTCTGTTGTTATAGATGGTATGAACCTTCCTCCTACCTGGGACTGGAAGGCAAATACCCAACGCCACCTGGAGATGATCCATCTGGTATTCTGTTGTTATAGATGGTATGAACCTTCCTCCTACCATGGGCTGGAAGGCAAATACCCAACATCGCCTGGAGATGATCCATCTGGTATTCTGTTGTTATAGATGGTATGAACCTTCCTCCTACCATGGACTGGAAGGCAAATACCCAACATCGCCTGGAGATGATCCATCTGGTATTCTGTTGTTATAGATGGTATGAACCTTCCTCCTACCATAGACTAGAAGGCAAATACCCAACATCACCTGGAGATGATCCATCTAGTATTATGTTGTTATAGATGGTATGAACCTTCCTCCTACCTGGGACTGGAAGGCAAATACCCAACATTGCCTGGAGATGATCCATCTGGTATTCTGTTGTTATAGATGGTATGAACCTTCCTCCTACCATGGAGTATACCTAATACAGATGTCTTGATAAAAGAGTTAGCACAAAGGATCACATATAAAGTGTAAAAAACTTAAAATAAGACCCAAAACTCAAGCACTTTAGAATAGTTGACTATTCTTCTTCAGAAGACCAAAGAGTGATCTTTAGCCTGCGCAATGCAGTATATCGTAGTATATGTGATGTCATGTAAACCGGAAGTCCCAGTTGAGTTGAATCTGGTGACCAACCAAATACAATTCAACTAGGACTTCCAGTTTACATGATGTCACACATCCTACTATATACTGCATTGTGCAGGCTAAAGGTCACCCTTTGTTCTCCTGTAGAAGAATAGTCAACTATTCGAAAGCGCTTGAGTTTTGGGTCTTATTTTAAGCCTAGTACAGATGTGATATGGTCTCCTACGGGTGTGTTGCTTTACAGAGATGTCACAGTCCTTGGGCTCTCTTCTGGCATTTTCCAAAGGGTGCTTATCTAGGTAAATTTTTCACTGGTTCCTCCACCAGTTCAATGTGGAATTCTAGCTATTTTGTGAGAAGAGGTAAGGTATCATATCAGAAGTTATAATTTTCCTACACTGAAAATGTATGTCTGATAGATACTTACCGCCTCTCCCACTTCCCACCCTTTTCCCCCACTTCTGGTGCTTCGTTTTTGCCTAATCTCAAAGTGAAGAATGGGCTCTACAGTATAGAGGGAGCCAGCTGTGCTAGGAGGGTGTGTCACACTCCTATTGATGGAGGGATGTTGCATTCTTATTTGCATGCTACAGCACAGCTGTATCACTTGTAAATAGATGAGGGTAGGTGGGAGTATCAAGGCTAGTGGTGAGCAAAAGTTATGCATAATAGAGGGCAGCACTGAATGAGAAAAGCTTTATGTAAGCAGAGGTAAGTATCTATGGAAAATACATTTTCATTGTATAAAAATTATAACTTTGAAACTTGACCTTTTGTCGCATCTTGATTTATCAAAAAGCGATATATAATGGTAACATTTACATAAACTATAGTACTTGCAGTGGGTTTTTAATGTTATAGATTACACGTATATAAAAGGAAGAACACAAGTTGGTTCAGAAGTTTCCACTGTGATGAAATATATCATTGACATTTTTGAAACAGAATCTCAGATAGCAGATATGGGTAATGAGGAAATTCCTGAAGATGTGATTGATGTGCAGAATCCAGATGAGGATGATGAAGATCTGTCTCTTCAATATAAGCCTTTAAATGTTTCACTGAGTGACGGTAAGTTACAAAACGTAACCTGGAGCTTGGATATTTCTACATTAGTGCATTGATGTATAGTGCAAATACTGTTATATTAGTTTTATGTTATTTTAATGCGATTAACAGTGACCACATTAATTAAAATGTATAATTAAGAATTGAAATATCTTTAAAGAGTTTCACACCTACAGGGATGGCATATGACGACATTCTTTACCAAATTTGATTTAAATGTATTTGTGAATAAAATAAAGTCAAGCAGATGCAACATAATAACACTGATTGAAACACACTCACATATAATAAATTGCATAAAAACCTTAATATGATTTATATTAAGTTTTTTATTCTTCCTTAGCCTAACTAGAAAAATATCAAACACATGTTCCATCAAGTAAATTTTCATTGTGTCCAATCTGTATAGCATATAGTTGACCTATCTAAAATCACCTCTACCCTCTCAATACCATTAATCTTACGCTGTTCCACTGTCACATGTGTGATAATTACATTATATAATAATAAACTAGATATGCATCTTAATATTCTTCATTATCAATAATTTACACTCTCTATAATTCTCTTCTTTCATACTGTATCTTATATCCCCATTTACACAGCCTAGAAATCGCAGTACCAGTCAGAGTCAGTCACATTCACTCTGAAGTGAGTAGCCCAAGACGTGATGACTGGTACTAACTAACTGACTGAATTAAGGACAGCTAACTTAGTTAGCCCTTGCATATCTTCAGCAAACCAACAAGCTTTCTTCTTATTCCATGCTTTCCACAAATTACTTTGCTCCTTATTCTTCCTTATTGTATACCATGTTTTCTGTTTCTGAGTTACATCTGTCATTACATTCCACACTACATGACCTTGATACAGTCTTCTGGCAGTTTACCAGTGACCTCATCCTTGAATATACATTCATTCTCTTCTGCAGTGCTATATCCTACTGTTTTGTCAAACCCTAGCTACAGGTTTGATACTTACCATACATTCTCTCTTCTGGTAGTTTACTAGAACTTTGAGAACATTACTAATTTTTGGTTTTGGTAAAGCATGTACTGAATAGCCTGATTGTCACTTCATGTTGTGTACCTCTTGATGTAACAGTAAGGTCACATTCTTTGGCTATAACTGAACATGTGGGAGTTTTGGCTAATCTTTAGCTTATGTGTCACTTTTGTTGCATCACACAGATTTCTTTTAAAATATCAAGCCTGCATTACAACCACCCATTATTAACCTCAACCACAAATGTTTCTGCCATTGGTTTCTCGTCCTGCATTACATCCATGCTCCATTAATCTCAGTTTCAATGTTTCTGCCATTGATTTCCACTCCTGCATTACATCCATCTACCATTAACCTCAACCACAAATGTTTCTACTATTAATTTCTATTCCTGCATTACAACCACCCACCATTAACCTCATACACAAATGTTTTTGCCATTGATTTCCAGTCCTGCATTGCAACCACCCATCATTAATCTGAACCACAAATGTTTCTGCCTTTGATTTCCACTCCTGCATTACAACCACCCATCATTAATCTGAACCACAAATGTTTCTGCCATTGGTTTCTCATCCTGCATTACATCCATGTTCCATTGACCTCAACCACAAATGTTTCTACCATTAATTTCTATTCCTGTATTAGAACCACCCACCATTCACCTCAACCACAAATGTTTCTACCATTAATTTATATTTGTGTATTACAACCATCTACCATTAACCTCAACCACAAATGTTTCTGCCATTGGTTTCTCATCCTGCATTACAACCACCATTAACCTCAATCACAAATGATTCTACCATTAATTTCTGTTCCTGCATTACAACCACCCACCATTCACCTCAACCAAAAATGTTTCTGCCATTGGTTTCCACTCCTGCATTACAACCACCCACCATTAACCTCAACCACAAATGTTTCTACCATTAATTTCTATTCCTGTATCAGAACCACCCACCATTGACCTCAACCATAAATGTTTCTACCATTAATTTATATTCGTGTATTACAACCATCTACCATTAACCTCAACCACAAATGTTTCTGCCATTGATTTCTAGTTCTGCATTACAACCTTTTACCATTAACCTCAACCAAAAATATTTTTGACATTGACTTCCAGTTCTGTATTACAACCATCCACCATTAACCTCAACCACAAATGATTTTGACATTGACTTCCAATTCTATATTACAACCACCCATCATTAACCTCAGCCACAAATGTTTATGCTGTTTTCAACCTTACAGGATTCATGAACTGTGGTATACAAAGTTTTTGTTAAATTTGTACTGAATAGTCTCAGGATAAGAATGTGTTTAGTCTTATGTCTTATATTAATTATTTTGTTTTTTCCTTTCTATTATTACCAGAACTTAATGGAGTAATTACCCTGAAGAGTGCTGAAGAAGGTACTGATGTAAGCTGTGTACAAGGAGAAGGAAACATGCAAGGAATCATGAAAATGGACTTAGAGAGTAAAAGCTGTGACCAACTAGATGGGTATTGTTTCGATGGATCAGGAGTTGCAGAAGTTATTTCATCAAACAACCATTTCAAGACAGTCACTGTAACAGATAGTGAAGAGCCTTTTAGTCTCATGTTTCTTGATGAGAAGTGGGAAACAGAAGATACCAGTGAAAGTAAAACTAAATCTTCTTGGAATATGTCTTATGATAGAGAAACCCAAGACAATTTACTTCAAGTATTGATATCTCGAGATGGACATAGATCTAGTTTTGAAACCAATTTACCTCAAGATGTTGAACCTTCTCACTCACTTGAGGGATTACCTGAGTTAACAACTGACCCTGTATCAACCCCACACTCTAGATCTTTCAAAGCCTTTACCATAACCAGGAACTCAGAAGTTTCCAATAATGGTTATGTAGAGATCTCAGAAGACACTGGGAAAACAAAGGACACACTTGAAGCTAGAAATGAAAGCATAGGTTCCAAATGTATAGAAGACAACTTACTAGATGTAGATGAAAATATAGAATCTCAAATTGTAAAAAACAAAGATGAAAGAGAAGAACTTAAACATACAAGACCACATGAAATAGATGAAAGAGAAGAACTTAAATGTACAAGGCCACATGAAATAGATGAAAGAGAAGAACTTAAACATACAAGACCACATGTTTTCTTTCATCTATTTCATGTGGCCTTGTACGTTTAAGTTCTTCTCTTTCATCTATTTCATGTGGCCTTGTACGTTTAAGTTCTTCTCTTTCATCTATTTCATGTGGCCTTGTACGTTTAAGTTCTTCTCTTTCATCTATTTGAAGACTTTGCACATTTCATTACAAACGATTCAGTGTCGTGTACCCACACTATGAAAGAGGTGTCTCATTTAACTTATAACAAAACCTCTATACAACAGGTAGAATCTGAGTTATGGAAATTGGGGTATGATCCAGACAGTAGTGAAGAAGATGATGATGATTTTCTATATGGAGGTCCTTGTTTACAGAAAAAACTGCAAGGAATTAGAAATCCTATGTTTGTTACTGAATGCCTCTCAGAAAGTGAAAGCATTAATAGTGAAGATTTAGACTGTGAACAAACTCAAGAACATAGTAATGTTTTGTTGGCGATATCAGAAAATACTGATTTCTATGATGAAAACAGTCAGAATGTCATCAGTCCCAAACAAATAGAATTACACTTGCCTACACCAGATGCTTACTTGGAAGATCTTCCAATTGTTGATGTAATGGATACAATAATTGAAGAGTCTGAAGACGAACGATGTTTTAGCCCAGGTGAACTTGAGGACAGTGAGTTACCAACCTTAGATTATGAGTTAAGAAGTGCTTGTGGAAGCCAAGGTTCATTAGCAGATACCAACAAAAGTGTTGCTGTTTCTGAAGAAGAAACGTACGTAAGGGATGTTGTTGAGTACAAAGATTGCTCGGTAGAGGTTCAGGTTGATGGCCGTGACTACAGAAAAAAACCTACATACAACTATATCATGATAGAAGAGAAGTTGATTACTGACAAAGAACGAAGTAACAGTTCTAATGTTGGGAACAATTCAGTAGAAGACACTGATAAATCTTATTCATTATTTGTTGAAGATGATGCATCTATGAACAAGAATAAGGTAGACCAGAATGACTTCCCTATCAAGCAACAAATTAACAATTCCAACATTGGAAAGGACACAGAAAATGAGATGGATAAATCTTGTTTATTGTTTATTGAAATTAATACACAGATAGAAACCAAATATAATAATGAGGTAATAGAAGATGATGAAAAGAATGAAACCACAAGTGGAAATAAGGTAAGACAACATGATAAAAAAGATCAAACCACACATGACAATGATGTAATACAAGATGATGAACACAACGGAACAACAAGTGATAACAAAGTAACAGAAGATGATGAACACAATTTAACATCAACTGATAATAAGGTAACAGAAGATGATCAACAGAATGAAACCACAAGTGATCATGAGGTAATCGAACATCATAAACACAATGAAACAACAAGTGATAATGAGGTTACAGAAGATGATAAACAGAATGAAACCACAAGTGATAATGAGGTAATAGAAGATGATGAACAGAATTTAGTCACAAGTGATCATGAGGTAATCGAACATCATAAACACAATGAAACCACATGTGATAATAAGGTAATAGATGATGAGGAACACAAATTAGCCACACATAATAATAAGATAAGAGATGAAGATCAACAGAATGAAACCTCACATGATAATAGCCTAATAAAAGAAGATGAACACATTGATACTATATGTGATAATGAGGTAATTAAACATCATGAACAGAATGAAATCACACATGATAATAAAGTAATAGAAGATCATGAACAGAACCATACCACAAGTGATAATGAGGTAATAGAAGATAATGACCAGAATGAAACAACAAGTGATAATAAGATTCCAGAAGATGATAAACAGAATGAAACCACAAGTGATAATGATGTAATACAAGGTAAGGAACAGAGTAAAATCACAAGTGTTAATGAAGCAATAGAAGATGATGAACAGAATGAAGCCAAAAGTGATAACGAGGTAATAAAAGATGATAAACAGAATGAAACAACAAGTGATAATGAGATAACAGAAGATGATAAACAAAATGAAACCACAAGTGATAATGAGGTAGTAGAAGATGATGAACAGAATTTAGTCACATGTGATAAGGAAGTAAAAGAAGATCATCAACAAAATGAAACAACAACTGACAAAGACATAATAGAAGGTAATGAACAGAGTGAAACCACAAGTGATAATGAGGTAATACAGGATGATGAACAGAATGAAACCACAAGTGATAATGAGGTAATAGAAGGTAATGAACAGAGTAAAATCACAAGTGATAAGGAGCTAATACATGATGATGAACAGAATGAAACCACACTTAAAAATGAGTTAATAGAAGGTTATCAACAGAGTAAAATCACAAGTGATAATGAGGCAATACATGATGATGAACAGAATGAAACCACACTTAAAAATGAGTTAATAGAAGGTTATCAACAGAGTAAAATCACAAGTGATAATGAGGCAATACATGATGATGAACAGAATGAAACCACACTTAAAAATGAGTTAATAGAAGGTTATGAACAGAATGAAACAGCAAGTGATAATGAGGCAATAGAAGATGATGAACAGAATGAAGCCACAAGTGATAATGAGGTAATAGAAGATGATGAACAGAATG